ATTGGCTTTATCATTATCCGATGCGATGTCTGGGCTGGCGTGAAAGCAAACAACAACGGCGGAGCGAAAAAAAACAAAACAGTCGCCAATTATCGTTTTGATTAATGCTCGCTGCCAAAATGGATTTTCATAAGCGCTTTTCACCATTTCTTCTCATCAATTATCATAAATACAAACAAATTTGCAATAAACTGCACAGCACGCAGCGGTGAAGGCAATTTTCCAAAGCCAGGTTAAAGGCAAACAGCCATTCAGGCAGGCACAACAGCAACAACCTAACCATGGCCCAGCCAACCAACCAACCAACCAACAACTTCAATTACAATCACGTCAACATCATTTTCAACGCAACGAGATATATTTCTATTAGCCGAATTAATGTCAGCATAATTAATCACATCCAATAATGTTCACTGACCAATTGCAACAACAGCAGTCATAGGCAAACAGCAACTACTAGGAACTAGCAAGCAACAGGCAACTTGCAACATCCTCTCAGGGTCAACAGTTCGTGTTGCACCTTTCCAGTGATTCCCGGGAGACCTTCACACTTTTGTTTATTGGCCACAATGCGTAGGTTGTAGCCAGGGGCATTTTATATGGCTTGAACTGGGGGAAACAGCAAGAAAAAACGCCAGGCTAATGCAATTTGATTGTTGGCCTGGTGTTTGGCCTGACCAAGACGAATTTCTTAGCCAGATGATAAGGTTGGCAGGTTCATAATTGCAATGTTAGAAAAAGAAATAATCCTGGGAAATTACAAGAGAAAATGCTTAACATTTTTTACATTTTGTATTAGAAATATTAAAATATAAATATAAATAATAATAATATTAAAAATTATCTAAATGGTTTGACTTTGAATTCATAGATAATAAAGGTTAAAAATGGCTTCATAAAATAATTAAAAATTTAAAACGCAGTTTTCTTACCCACATAAAATCCGAACCTTGAAGTTTCTTTTCTTATCCTTCAACATCTTTACAGCCATGCCACAATTTGTATCCAGCTGTTTAAAGGCGTTGACCGCGTAAGATTCTGGATCACAGAGTGTCGCTTTTTGTTTTCAAGTTTCTTGATTTATTTGGCATAATTTTTTTATTGGCAGTTTCAACACGTTGATGGCTATCAATTTGCACAAATTAAAAATTAATTGCAAATTTATGGCTTTTAATTTACTTATCGTTTGATTTATGCCCAACCATTGCAGCCGAAATACTTTTTATGATTTAAAGCTCAGTCGGCCAATGTGCGCTGATTTGTTTTTTTTTCACTTTTAACTGATTTTATTTTAATTTTTTTCTTTTGGTGGTCCAGTTGGTTGGTTGCACTTAGAATAGCTAAGAGCCAAGCAATTTAACTGAACTTAATTGCTAGCATTATATATATATATATATATAAAGTTACACTAAGCATTTGAGAGCTGATAAAAAAGTCGTCCAACTTGGGCTCGATTAGATCAAGCGGAAGTTGCACGTCAACGTCAAATCGAAACCAATGGCTATAAAAAAATTAAAACTAAATCAAAAAATAAACAACACCGAAATGTAAATGCAATTTGCAAATTTTACTTGCATTTTTTTTCTAACAATATTCCAATTTATTTACGAATTCTTTTTGGGTCCGAAAATTATTCAAAGGCAGAAAGCGATAAAAGGCAAAGACATCTTGGCAAGGTAAAGAAAAAGACGACAACGAGGTAGCTACTGGGCAATTGTTTTGGGCCAGGCCCAGATCACTGGACCATTGCCACCAGAGTGGCTGGAAAAATGCAACAATAAATCTCATTTTATGCAGAGAGCAGAGCGAACGGCCCTTTTATAGGTAACGCTAATGTGGCCCAAAATTGAACTTGACATTTGAATGCCCAATTAACCATGACGTCGTCCAGAGACAGAGAAGGCCAGGAGGAGTCCTGGACATGTCCGCAATGCCAATGCCTTTGGCCATTCCACTGCTGTTGTTATTGTTGTTGTTTCCAGTTTTCAGGTCAATTTTTCGGGCATTCCAATGCGTTATGCTCTCTCCCCGACTTTATTGCAGCAATTTAAGCTTTGTGGGGTGCTCCACTGGGTTACCTGCTCCTCCTGCTCATCCTCCTCTGGCTTCCTGCTAATTAACCTACTTTCTTGGCCCGACCAAGCAAACTTTTTTTCTGCTCTTCTCACAGACTAGCTCTTTTATCTTGGCCATTTCAATCGCTGCGGTAAAAATTTGCCTGTCATAAAATGCCTATGAAACTGGCCTAAGCTCAAATATGTTGGGTTCTCTATTTCGGGGAATGTTTTCTTATAAAGTAAGTTAAATTTATTTATGTTTAGAAAATATTAACAACTAAAATATATCTATTAATTGAATTTTTCATATTTTTTAGGCACATCTTTATAGATATATTTCTGTATTATTTTTAATAACAATTTTTGGCTGTTTCAATTATTATGATTTTTGTTAGATAAAATTAATTTTAAAAATGGAAAATTTCTAACAAAATTTTAAATCAAAATTAATATCCTTTTCAGTCGACTAATTTTACTATTTCGATGTGAGTGCAATTCTCACGCGGCGGCTGATAGCCAGTTCACGCAGAGTCGGCTTACATTTTTCCTTGTTTTTTTTTTTTTGGCCAGTCTTGGCCTGGTCTGGCTGGGGATGATTATAAAATTGCGATAAATATTTATACCGCTCTTAGATTTATGGTGATTCATATCAACAGCCTGGCCGAGCGGAGTCATCGCTTGGATCGCATCGGGTAACAGGTAACGTTCATAAACATTTTTATTAGCAATAATTGCACAATTTTCCATGTGGTTCATTTGCGTGTGCTATCAAAGCAGGAAAAATCTAAAAAAAAAAAAAAAAGAAAAATACAAACATACAGCTGGGTAAGCCAACTGTCATCAATCATGGAGTTGGCGATAAGCCAAACTTCCTGGCCTTGGCTGCCCCAAGGGTCAGATCACAAATGACCATAATTGCCAAGTGGCCGAAAAGAGTGGCGAAGAAAAGTCAAATGCCACATTTAAATAATTCAAATTATGTGCAATCAATTCGGTTAGAGTTTCTTAACCTGATTTCCAGAGTAAATTGTCATGCCCGCTGGCCAATGCAAACTCTGAACTTAACTGTATTTATTTATTAATAATTTATATTATTTGTTTATAGAAGGCCGACACTCCGGCGAAGGCCAATGCTGCTGCTGCTCACTTAGCTAATGCTGTGCCATAACCTAATGGCCGATTTGCTTTCAAATCAGAACCCTAAGGAAAAACCATTTGCATTGGCATTGAAAATAATGAAATGTTTTAATAATTTATTTGGCATTTGCAATAATAATTTGTCTCGGAAATATCATGAGATTTTTTTTTGTTAAAAATAAAAGAAATAAACGTTGTTATAGATTGGTGGCATTTTTATACAGTTTGGTGTAGAAAATTAGTTGAGGGAGAATTAAGTGTTATTAAAAATATAAAAAGGGAAAAAAATAAACAAAAACTTAAAAATTTGCAAGCAAAAAGCCCAACAACAATGGCTTTCATAATGCAGTTTCCTGCATTTAGAAAATCTTTGAGGGAAAATGAAAATAATAAAAATGATATAAAAAATTTCACAAACAAACTTTAATACTTTTTTCTTAAAACTATATTTATTGTCTTTTCTACCAATTGCCACTGTTTTTCGCCACATTGCTGTAAATAAATAAATAAACTAAACAAAACTGGCCCACATTTGGTAGTCACTTTTACAGGTAAAAAAGTCAACAACATTTTCATGTGTAATTGGGTGCCATACGAGGTGCAACCCAAATTTCTTGGCCGACTGCTAAGTGTTTTGTCTTGTAATTTACAAATGCAAAATAGCCGAATGTGACAAAATGCATTCGGCTGACAATTTATCGTGTTGCCTGTTCGAACGACGCACAGCTTCCTTGGCCAAATGGGCGAGGTTCCACCCTACCCCCCTATAATCCTCCCTCTCCCTGGAATCACCTGGAGTAACCACCATCACGAAAAAAAAACTAGTTTACGCATTTTGCGTGTGTGCAAAAATAGTGAGACATTGATAGGCGATGTGGATTTATATTTATGGGCCTAGTCGGGCGTGGCCTTGATCTAGAATTTCATTTCAGTCCGGCTAGGCATGTGCGTTTTTCCTATGTTTTCATTTTCATTTCATTTGATTTTCATTTTCCATTTTCGTTACAGCAACGCCGGACAACGCGGCGTATGTGTGATGTTCGCGATCTCGGGCGATCTCAGGTGAGTTAAGGTGATGTTTTCGTGTTAGCCGTGCAGTGCAGCCAAGCACTTGCTGCCAACTTGCGTAATCACAGATCGAGGGGTGCTAAGTACCGGTTTAAATGCCGGCCACAGACCAGTTATCTAGTTAGCCATTATATATACGAATATATATATATATATAGAGATATTTTTATGCATCTGAACTGAAGCGCCTGTGCGAACGAATAAAAAAACGCGTGCGATTATTTTAGTCATTTTTCCATGCCGCATTTTCTGTATATCTCTCTGCACTTGTAATTTATTGAGAAATTTAATTGAATTCGCATGCTCGCCAACCGGTCGCATAATAATTTGAGTGTCCACCCGATCAGTGCCATTGAGCAATTGCCTGAACGCATATGTTTTTCTCCCCAAATGCTAATCAGCATTTTGGCAAAACAGTTGGTTGGAAAAAGAAAAAGAAAAACATTCTGGAAAAACAATACATCAAGTGGTTTTATGGGAAAATGAATGCACTGCCAAAAATTAAAGGCAAGACTTAAGGTACTTATTTTATTTTAAAATTCGTATAAATAAATAATAAATCAAATATTTTAAGAAATATTTTTGGTTAACAACAAAGAACTGTAAAAGAAATTTAAATATTTTTGGGTTTAAGATTTCCTTTTCTCCTGGAAATTCTTTTAAAACTTACATTTTAAGAAACCTTTTTCTAAGTTTCTAAGGTCTTTGTTCTTTCTCTATAAAAAGAACCACAAAAGACACTTCTGCATTCATTCAATTGGATTCAACAAAAGACCACCATGTTTCGCCTAAGTTTATTAGCCATTTTATTCCTTGGTCTGACCGTTGTAATCCTTTCTTACGAAATGGACTCACTCTCTTTACAGGAGCGGTACGACAGGGAGCGGTTCAATATAAGCAAAAGTTTGTTCTCTATAATAATAGTTTTTTTTAATAAATAAACTAACCATTATTATCAATCCCCAGAAATTTGTCTTCAAACTTCGGAATATGGAAAGTGCAAAGGGCGCCGGAAAATGTGGTACTACAATGTCAACAAATTCAAGTGTCAAAAGTTTACCTACTCCAATTGCGGTGGCAATGGAAATCTTTTCTATACCAACGAAAGTTGCACGAACTTCTGTAATTATAACTGGAAGACGGGTCATAAGATAGGACATCAAAGTAAGGACGCTGCAAAAAGTAAGGCTGCAAAATCATCAAAAGATCAAAAGAAAATTTGAATAATTTTAATAAAAATGTAAAATTTAACTAACAACCCAAGATTTTTAGTTCATTAAGCTTTCAAGCTATACCAAGCTAAACTAAAACAAATTTTCATTAGCTTAAAAGTGCATAAATGCTTGGAAAAATATGTTGTGAATTTTAGTGACTTTTTGCTGTTCAAAACGTGAAAAATGAAAGTAATTCTTCTGCTTTTCGGCCTTTTTGCTGCTTTTCTTTCCATTGTTTAGTCTTAAAGCAGAAGAAAGGGTGAGTTTGAAGTTACCAACCTACGGAATTCGGAAAATGTGGTGGCCATCGCTTGATGTGGACCTTTCATGCCGAAAAATAAAAGTGCGAGCCATTTGTTTTCTCCAACTGCAGTGGCAATGATAATCGCTTCTTTACCAAGGAATCCTGCGAGAACACTTGCGCTTCAATGAACTCCCGATTTCCACTTATGTTACCAATAAACCAATAATTGTTGAAAGTTTAAATAAATTAACTTAAAATGTTTTATTTTTCTTATTATTGGGTTAAAGTATCAACACGTTGTTAAGTTTCACTAAGGGATAAAACACATTTTCATTAGTTTGGAGTAAGTTAATATAAATTCTCAAAACCTTTTTTTACCCAGTTTAGTTTGTAGTTTAACTTTAAACAGAGAAGTATGAAAGTGCTACCAGTAGTTCTTGTCCAACTTTCCATTTTAGTGGCTTGTATTCAGGCTACTGATTTTAGAAATCGTAAGTTAATATCTTGAAAAGAAGATCTGGTAAGCCATTTATATTCTTGTTAAAGTAGTGGTTACAATATTGATATATATTTAGATAATTATTACATTTAATGAAATAAAACTATATTAATTTTCCCTTTCAGCAATTTGTAACATTTTCTTCGATGCCGGTCATTGTGTCAACTATTAAGTGGTTTGGACCTTCTCGGAATATCACAATAATTGCGTTAAAACTGTCTATTCAGGATGTGGTGGCAATGGAAACAGATTTTCAACAAGAACCCAATGTAAGCAGTTTTACCCACCACATTAAGGCTACCTAACTTAAAGTAATGGTTATAAAGTTTGACTAAATAAGTGCCAAAAGAACAACTGCTTTCTTTTTTGCCTTTTGGCAGATTTTCTTTCATCCATACACTTAAAGTTCTTTAATAAATTTATAAATTTTTAAAAATATTGTAATAAATAAGAAATATATAAAAAATCCAGCAAAGCATTTTTTATTACCCAGAGAAAAGTGTAAGCTTTTATATCCCAAACTTATGGTCTAAGTCTGAATGTTCACACCTAAAACGCTTTTGTTTTGACCACGTTTTGTTGGCGTCTGGCGGTTTTTTTGGTATACGAGGTGTGTTCAAAAAGTAAGGTGACTCTTCAAATTTCGCGAATTTCAAATTTTTCGATTATCGAAACCTTTTAGAAGTTATACGAGTTGTGTTCAAAAAGTAAGGTGACTTTTCAAATTTCAAAATTTTCAAATTTTTCGATTATCTTCAGTTTTGGGAACAAGAAAAAGTCACATGGGGCCAAATCCGGTGAATATGGTGGCTGAGGCATTATTGTGGTGTTGTTTTTGGCCAAAAAATCCAAATCCTTTGATCCATATTTTTCGATAGCAAAAAATCGCCGAGCTCGCAAAACAACTTGTAACTTTACGCCTCTCACAACCAAACAAAAGAGGATGTTCCATTGAAACTTGGTACAGATGTTAGGGAAGAGTGTACCAATATAACAAAACAAAAAAATCGATAATCGAAAAATTTGAAATTCGCGAAATTTGAAGAGTCACCTTACTTTTTGAACACACCTCGTAACTCGTAGCCGGCGCTCAGAAAACAAAAGAGGGCCAGAACAAGCAGTGGAAAGCTTCTCACCAGCTTGCCTAACTTCCACTTCCACTTCCATAAAATGAAATAAAAATTCACACACACACACATATATATATAGGATACACCCACAGGGGCGGAACTTAAGATTGTCAAGGGCTGGGCAAATATTCGTTGCTTGCTGGCATTTAGACCAGGCCAACAGCATTGTCAGTAGCAAAATGAAAGCTTCACTGAAAAGTTTACCTCCCAGATATATGTATGTATGTATATGATGTATATGATGTATATATATATTTTGTTTTCTTTTCTCTGGGCTTTATTGTGCGCCGTTAGAGGCATAAATCACCGATGAGGGGGCAAAATGTGCAAGTTTACAGGTTGACTTGGCCAGCTCGTACGCAAAAAGCACATTACCAGAATGGCAATCGCAATCTCAATGGCCAATGCCAATGGCACTGGCAATGGCCAATAGCGAAATCAAAGAATAAAGTCACGCAATTTCAATTACAAATAAACGCACAGACGGCGAAATGGCCAAATGGGGGTATCCTGATGCTGATGCTGAACTACACATAGCTGTGGCTATATCTATAGCTAAAGCTATAGTAATAATAATAATAATAATGAAATTGTGATAAGCTGCGCGCCACAAATTGCACGCGAGTGAGACGGAGAGACAATAATTTAAACCGTTAAGCGCGAGATGAGGCTTCAAATGCAGCCGACTGAAGATGGACACGTGACACGATTTGGGTTGGGAAGATAATGCCTCATACATTTTTTTGAACTAAAGTTCTTAGTTTGTCATTCGATTTACACTTCCACATAATTAAATATTTTTTTATAAATTTTTTAGAACAATTTGTAAGCCTTGTTAACAACCTCTTACCTCGTGACCCACCCAGAACACGAATGACCCCTCCTTACAATCTCCGCCAGTTAAACTCACGTTGAGCTCGTTGAAGACCTCGCGACGTCGTCATTCTGGCTGGCTTGAATCTTGGCCTATCGTATGTCTGACGCTCTTTGTGGCCAACAACATTAGGCCGACCGATCTGCGCTTCGGTGTTGGCCAGTGCCAATTAATATTCGCATGATCAAATGGTTAACGCATTTAGCCATAGAAAAAACCAACAAGACATCTCGCCGCGCTTCAGCAAACCGGCTCACATTAAATTCGCATTTACGCGTTGTGCCTTTGTGTGTAACTGATCGAGGCTTAAACCCCTTTTGCGCCTTTTACCCCTGAAATCCTTGTCTCTATCTTACCAAACGCCAAGAGTCCGTGGCCTGTGGGAAAGTGGGCCTTAATTGACATCACGAGGCGTTTAAATTGCCGCCTGACCCCGCTGCAAAGGAGAGGAGTTAAACAACTTGTGGCCTCAGTTAATTATGTATTTATTTAGTATTTTCCTTAATTTTTTACTCATTCTTTTCCTTTCTGGATAAACACTTAAAAATTTTGAATTTGTGTTTTGTCACAACTTGTTGCATTCTATATTGTTTTTTTAATTTTATTTTTTGTTTATTAAATTTGTTTAGTTATGGGCTAGGCTGGTTGAGTACGAGTTTTGTATATATAGGTTTTTGTTTATTTTTAATAAAATTGATTTATTTTCCATGTGTGTTTGCGGGTGTCTATGGCATAACAAACTGCTGCCCAGAGAAAAATGGATTAAGATGAGTTTAATTTGTAATTATCGATTCGACTTTGTATTGAGTAGGTAGGTACTTAATGGAATCTGTTGTACCACAAGCAGGCTAACATTTAAAGCGTTCGCATACATCGATATAGAAGTCAAGGTCAAGAACCTCTTTAAGATCTAAAAATTTAAATAAATATTTCTAAATCAAATCAATATAAAAGCAATAACAACAAGGCCTGGCCTTAAACGAAAAAGAGAAAAAACATTTTACAATCGAATAAATGCAAATACACATTGGGATTAAGTTTGGGTAACAACTAAGGGACTAGTTTAAAAGTTATATTTACTTTAAAAATTCGTAAAATATTATCAAAAAAACATAGTTAAAAATGTAATGTAATGACGATTTTGTAAGCTTTTATTTCGCTTATAACTTGATGCGTTGTCTGTCCTTTGATTTGCTTCGATTCGCTTAAATATTCAATTAAAAATTATATAACAACACGCATACATATCAATATTAGAGTTAGTCGTATGTATATATGTATAATATATATATATAAATGTGATTAGCCAATAGGTTATAAATCTTCATGAATGCGGGATATGATTTTGCATTGCTTTATCTTTCTGTTAATCAATTCTTGATTCAATTCTCTGCCTTTAGCATTCTTCAACATTAATAAAATTGTTTTAATAAGCCAATATATTTTTAATTTCTTCACTCCTTTGCCAAACATGATTTACTCTTCTCCTGTTTATTTGTTAAAATTTGCTAAAACATTTTCATTTACTATTGTTTTTTCATATCATCAAGCTTAATTTGTTTGCTTTTCCATATAAATGCAATACCTCAATATGTTTTATTTTTATTTTTTGGAATAGATCTAATGATAATCCTTCGTCTTCTTTGCAAAAATGATCTAGTAATTAAGTCGATTGGAAAGGAAAGCTTTCTGTTATATTTTTTGGAAGTTTTCTGAAGCTCTAATAAAGCCTTCATTTTTTTGGTGCATTTCTCTTAATTGGAAAAAATTGTGCCTTTCTGTTGATTGTGAGTCTTTTTGTTCGTTTCGTTTGTAGTTTGTTCTTTGGCCTTTTGAATAGTTAAATCAATAGAAAATTACCCCCAAAAAAACTAACTCCCGCTCGTATAAAAGTCAAATATGCGCAAGGACTACAAACTACTAGTTGCCTTACAAAAAAAGTCATCCTGATTAAACTAACTACAACTTGAACAGAGCCCCATAGTTGGTGAGGCAAAATAGTTTGGCGCATAGGCTGCGACTTCGACTGTGACTGCGATTTTGACTGTGACTGCGACTGAGACTTAGACTGTGACCTGGCCTGATTGGTGCCGGTGGTTGCTTTCCTGGGGCCAGGTCCTGGCTCTATTTCCCGCCACAATACTCCCCCTGCAGCATTCCATTGTCCAGGAGTAGGGCAGGAGTCGTAGAGATTCCATCGCGAAGTGCCAGTTGATAGGCCACCTCAAAGGCCTGCCCCAGAGTCAGGATTATCTCGCTGGCCAGATCCTGTCGAGGCTTTATATAGTAATATTCTTTTGGATATATCTTAAGGTTTACTTACTGTACTTTGGACCAGGAAAACGTGGCAGTAGTGCAGGTCCTGCTCCTTGGTTATATAGGCAAAGTGGCGCATGTCCTCTGAGTCCTGACAGGCGCAGTTGATGTTCTGAATCTCATGTTCGCATATAGTTCGCTGTAAGTTATACTTTTAAGTTGAAGAAATTTAGTTTCATATTTAAGATCACTTACCTTAGTGCTCACATCGATGAACTCCACACCGCGATGGCTTATGGCCAGAGAGAGTGGTGATCCCGATTTGCTTTCACCTTCAGCTGAGAATTTCAGCTTTTGTATGGACTTCTTGGTGGACTCTGTGCCACGTAGTTCTTTCACAACCGTTGAGCCGAGGTACTGTCAAGGAAGAAGAAAGTAGAGACGTGATTTTTCAATTTTAATAATGATAAGAACAAAATTATAAATTTATTCAAATACTATTCTAAGTTAAAAATTACAAAAATCAGCTTAAAAAACTTCAAAATTCGTTTTTACGTGTTTTAACGTAAAGGAAAAGGAAGATATTGACGTAATTTAATAAACAAAACATATTATACTTAAAAGTTAATTAAGCATCTACTTACTTGAACCTCGTAATTGATTTGCTCGTTGAGCAAAGTCTGCGCCGAGTGACGCCATTCGGTGGTCCTTAAATTGGCCGGAAGACCCAGCAGTAGCTCTGAGGGAGCCCTAATTTGCAAAGCGGCTGTCTTTCTAACTGGTGGAGCCGGAGGAGGAGGTGCGGGTCTTAAAAATAAAAGAAAATATCTAGTTTAGAGAAAGGGGTTTCCCATATTGAAAAACCTTATCATACCGGCTCTTGCGATAGCCTGTGATGGAGTTGCGATGATTCACGGGGTTGGCGGGTATCCGGGGTGGGGCCTCCCTGGTGGTTCCATTGCCATTCGTTGTCAACTGGTTGGTTTCGTTGTTTTCACCCAGTGGCGTTTTCTGTGACTTTGAGTCGCTATCGCGCATCTGGCGGATGTAGGCCAGCGATTGCAGGATGCGTCTCCGGTGGCCCAGCTTGTTAATCTCCAACACCGTCTGCAGCTCCACATCCCAGACCCCGCACACACTTTCGATGGTGTTGTAGAGATGTTTGCTGAAAGGGATTAAAAGAATGAATATCAGGAGCAGATTAGGGGTAAAGTCTTGAGATACTCACTTGAAGAACTCCAAGTACTCCGGCAGGGCAATGGTGTTGAGCCACTGCTGCAGTGTGGCCACACCCATCTGCTTGTTTTCCTGCTGTGTCTTGAGCGGCACTTGCGGCTGGAACTCCGCCGGCGGTAGACTCTGGACAAAACGTAGTAGCTTGGGTGCATCTCTTTCGGGAATGTGCAGAAGTGGAATATCAGGCTCCTCAAAGACATTGTGCTGAGAAGGAAACCGCAAATATAAACTCAGTTTCATGAAAAGGAAGTCCTCAGCAAGAAGCTTACCACAAACTTGTAGTTATCGTAGCCGTTCTCAAAGAGCATCCTCTCCAGATGAAGTAATCCAGCATTACGAAGACGTGTGGCCAATTCCCTGCGCTCGTTGGGCACCTCCATGTCCTCAAAGTCCAGCTCGATGTCATGGGTGGGCGTGATGCTAGTATTCAGGATGCCACTACCAAAGTTCTCAATGATCTCAGAGATCTTCTTCCGAGCCTCCTCTGCGTTAAAGGGACTCAGGAGGTTTATGGAATTCCTTGCTGCCGACTGGCCACTTCCTGGGGATTTTGCAGGTGATTTAGCTGGAGATTTGTTAGAGGACTTCGAAGGTGATTTCGAGGGAGATCGAGGAGGTTTAATGGCTACTTCGCCAGCGGAATTTCCATTTGCTTCTACTGGTTGATTGGTTGGCGTTGTCGGAGGCTTAACAAACTTTCTCTCCGGCACTGCTGGCTTGGCGGCCAGTGGTGGACGCACTCGTGGTAAAGTTTGCTGCGGTTTTCCCTCCTCTTGGATTTTCAACTGCACTTCGCATTGTTCCTTGAGCTGCTGGGAGGCTCCCTTTAGCAGGCCAGCAAAAGGAACATCGCTGACAAACTCCTCTACATAGTCAGTGGAATGGGAAAGACTGTGATCCGAGCACGAGATGCTGGAACTAAGGGATCCGGATGAGGGAGCCGGGCAACGGGGAACCACTGTAACCGTATCATCATAATCATAGCCAGGCGTACTCAGTGTGGGCAGTAGTTTCGATGGCGATGAGCCTGTCTCGATCATTAATTGCTGGGCCGCCTGTAGCTGGAGCAAAGCTGACCGACGCTTGTACTCCTGGCTAAGTGGTCTAATCCGTTCGTGGATGGTCCTTTCCGCTTGACTGGAACTTGGCGGCGGATGATCAGGGGTTGGAGGTTGCTTATAGTGGGTGGGGCTACTTGGAATCTGCTGCTTGGCCTCGCAGTTCTCGTCACCACCATTGGATTTGGTGGCCGCATTGGCACCGCTGAAAATATTGTGAAATACTTGATTAGTTCTTGTTTTTTCTATATTTTTTATATATTTAAATTTCAGCAATAAACTGAATTAATTCTCCAAGAAACAAATTGCATTTCGTTTAGCCTTGCCTAGCTAAAAGCAAATTTGACATTCCAGTTCAGTTTCTTTTCTTGGTAGTATTTTTTCGGTAAACGAAAACTAAACTATGCTAATTTAGTTTAAGTCTTGCCTCATACTAGAACACTTTAAAAGCCATATAATAATTTGGGTCGCCTTAGCGTTTTTGTAATGCCGTCAAAGTTACAATCATCATTAATGTTGTACCTAGTTAAAGGCAATACAAAACTTTATGAAACCTAATTAACATTTTTAGTACTACTTAACTGTTGTAACACAAAATGATGTGGTTTTCACCAAAAAACTTGAGTTTTCACTGCTTCCTCTTTGACTAATTACATAATTTATTACAATGCCAACTTACCTGCTGTTCCTATTCCGCTTAAGTTTCCTATTCGGATTATACGACTTGAGGGTGGCGTTTTCTGCAGACTTTAGTAGTTCCTTAGACAGCTTGGTGGTTGAACTTCGAGGAGCTGGAATGGGTCTCTTCATGGAATTAGTAGCTGGTGAGTCTCCACTAGAATTGAGTACACTCGTCTCGCTGTTCAGTTCAGAGCTGCTGCACTGGCGGTCCAGCATGTCATCTTAAAAGAGAAGAAGAATTAGCTCGGTCGGATTGGGAATCTTCTCTAGAACTTACTACTAGAACTCAGGCTCATTCCTCCAGCAATTGCTGATCTTGTGCTCTGCCTGGCACTGGCATATAGACGATCACTCCTTTGGCGTTCCCTCATCTGTGTCTCATCGAAACTCATTCCACCCACACTGCCATGACTTTGATGGGAGTATGGACTATCGCTGGGCGGTTGACGGCGCAATTGGTTCTGACCATGACCATGGCTCTGACTTTGACTCTGGCTAGATGGAGAGCTGTAGCTAAACTGCTGACCAGGTCCGGCGTGAGTTGGTGAAACGGAAAGATTGCGTCTAGGTGGCTTCTTGGGAGGTCCAGCTGGTGCAAAAGTACTCATCTGCATGGGTTGACCTAGACCGCCGGTAGAGCAGCGGGATCGTGGAGATACAGAAGCTGGTTCAAAGCTGCTCAGAGATGAGGAGGGACTAACACTGTAGCCACCACCCATATCACTATGAATAATATAATATTAGTATTTATATTTTTAGATACGATATTTAACTTACTTCTGACTGTGCAAAGGTGAGTGTGCATTGAGTTCCTGATAGAAACGATCCTCCGGCTGGAGTGCACTATCCAAGGACTTTCCTCCATTGTAGGGACCACCGTTTCCGGCACTTAGACGCTGTTTACTATATCCGGATTGCTGCATGGAGTGTGAGTGGTTCAGCAAGTGGTTGTTTGAGTTGAAATGGTAATGGTTGCTATGGGCCTGCTGCTGTTGGGAATGATGTTTACTTTGGCCACGTAAGGAGCTCGGTGGTCCCGTGTGCTGTCTGTAAATCACCTCGTCGCCTTCATCGGTGTCCATTTGGTTACGGAAGTCTAAAAGGGTAGAAAAATTACAAAATTATATAATAAGTTTAAGTATATGAAGTTGTTTTAGGAGTTAATCACACTTAAGATTTCAGCTGACGTTATCTTCATCATACTTTACATACTCGCAATCGTAAAAATTAGGTCAACTTTGCTTAAGTATTATTTTTCCCTGATAAACAGCATTACAGTACCTCACGTAAATAAAAGTGATTAAAATATGCGGTTTAAGTGCAACCAATTATATAAATAAAGATGTGACCAAACAATCAATAGAATATTACGCATACGTACTGTTGATCACAGCCACAATGTGTTTGGTGACATGCGGTGGAAATTCTCGTAGAATATCCAGGGCAGTGCGTCCTTCGTTGTCGGTGGCTCCCAAATTGATGCCAGCTTTCAGTAGAGTCCTAACCACATTCTCCTTGCCACAGAGAGCTGCCTCATGGAGAGCAGTTCCCGAAGGAGTTTGTAGATTCACACTAACTCCGGCGGACAAAAGGACTTCCACGACGCTTTTGTGACCATTTCGACTGGCCAAATGCAGACAGGTGTGTGGAAAGATGGTTCTACTAGGGGATGCTGGCGAAGAGGGTGATGGTGTACCTCGTTCCATGGCCTCAGTGCCCAGATGAGCTATCAATTCCGGATGGGCACGTATCAGCATTTGAACAGCTTGCAGTCTGCCATATTGTGCAGCCAAATCCAGTGGGGTTTCTCCCCTTGAATTCCGCATATTGGGATCTGCATCATGATGCAGCAGCAGGGCCAGAGCTCCCGTGTGTCCATGCTGTGCGGCACAATGCAGTGGCGTCTCCTGCTCTATTGTCTGTAGATTGGCACTGGCCGGTCGATATGGATGCGTCAGCAGGAGTCGCACAATCTCCGTTTCTCCTGCCCAGGCAGCCAAGTGGAGTGGCGAAGATCCCCGAGAGTCCGGCAGATTGGGCGAGGCCTCATGAGCTAGTAATAACCTAACTATATCCTCATGTCCATTGAGGCAGGCATGATGCAGGGCGGAGTAGCCACCACTGTCCTGGACATTGACTCCAGTGCCGCGCCGCAGACTGGCCAAAGGTCCTGCCCTTTTGGCCTTCTGGGTGAGAACCTTCTCAATGTGAGAGATATTCCCATTGCGTGCCGCCTCCAGGAACTCCTGATCCTTGCCCATTGTAGGAAGAGGCTGCATGGAGAAAGAGAAGAGCAAATTTAAGATTATCTACATTATTAAAGTAAATTTGAACTCGTGGATATGCTTTTTCCCTGACACATTTCATAATACCGACATTTAAAATAAGATTTCCTTTCGATTACAATTACTGCCAAGAAGCTTTAGCCCTTTTAAGTTGTACAACATTGTTTTCTTCCTGTGTGCTAATGGGTTCCCATTAATGGACTTCCCCATGCACTTGTAATCGCTTGAAGACATGCCCTAACCTTGTGGGGTGGAGACATAAGTCTGTCTGCCTGTCCCTGAGTTGATTTGCTGCAAATGAATTATGACTGTCAAGTGTGCTTCATTAAAACGCCTTCGGCTTTGTGGCTTCACCGGTCTTTGCGGGTCGCCTTTTCTCCTCTTAGCCCTAATGACTTTTAGCCCGTCTTTCCATTTAAGCCGACCACCCACCCGCTTAACCGCCTATTCACGCGCAGCTCACAATCGGTAGAGGGGTTTGCCATTAAAAAAATTGCAATGGAATGGGAGGTCAGAGGGTGTCGAGTGGAGCTTTGCTCCTGATGAAGTGCTTTTCACGCGCTGGAATATCTTCGAGTATCTTTGATATGTACGTGACACATTCCACACAGAGGCCATGGGACAGAAATTGTACGTCGTGATATGGCAAGAGTAAGTCGAATGAGATGCAGATAAAGCGAGTTATATCTCGAAAAGATGATGGTGACAGTGGGAATAGGGTATTTATTGAAAATAAATTATACTTAATTGGGAAAATCCTCCAAGTAACTAATTAGTAAGTATTATTAAGCTTATCTTTCTTGCAACCTTTGAACAGCTTTCTACTTTATTGCTGAACAAAATCGCTAGAAAACCCCCATAATTCCCAGTAAGCAATTATTTCCCGCAGTCACCAATTCAAGTGTTCTCTCTATTTATAAACAGATCAGTTAACACATGAGTAAGAAATATAGAATAATGTGAAATATGTTAGGAACCACTCACTTGTTGATCAGCTGGCTGGAGGGAAAATATTCCAAAGAATGACTCAATATTATGCCCATAGTTCAGACTACAAGGACCAAGACCTTATAAACGAGATAAAGCACGTTGCAGGCGCCTAAAAGCAGGCTACATTCCACATTTGAATGCTTCAATGAGATAAATACACGACGGCAACAGATAATCACCTGCTTACACACACACACATACACAACCTAACAGCGATTTTACACACACCCATACTGGTGCACGATGATGTATCGTTTATCATACTACATACTACTATAAAATTCAACAAAAGGTAGGTTAGGCACATCCTTCTGGAAGGGGGGAAGGCACGAAAGGGTCTAGAGAGTTTACCAGAGAGAGCAAGAGAGAGTTGCAAGGAGTGCGCCTGCTCTGCCGCGCCCACCACCGACTAACCCCCTAAAGCCCCACTCTTTCGAAAATCCTTAACCCCCAGAGTCCTTACCCAATCCCCAGTACTCCTCTCTCCTCCACAAGCTATTCATAATTTTTCGCTTGCAAAACTCTGAGGCGTGTCAGCTTGAAAAGGCTGGGGGTGTGAGGGTTAAAGGGGGTTTTATTACTGGGAGGATGCGTTTAGGCCAGGCCCAAAGAAAGGCAAACGGAAATTGAGGCACATTATAAACGGCTTGACACCAGTCAACCAACCAGCCACAACAACAAAACAGAAGCCAACATTGCCAATTGGCAGCAGAGATTGTGTGCAGTTCCTAAGCCATAATTGGGTCAAAGGATGTTGACCCTAGGCAAAAAGCTGGCCAAAAGCCCAGTTGTACTTCTAGGAAAACTATTTGTCTGTCAAATCATTTCCTGCCTTTCAGTTTATATATCTCTCTATATAGATATAGATATGGATATATATATATATATTTACTGGGTTCACACAATTTGCTTAGTGCACTTAAAAGGCGTGTACTTCCATATACACACACACACGCAGACACTCACACACATTTTTTCCATAGCACAATTTTCGCTTTTACCTTAGAGTTTGCTTAGTTTTATTTGGGATGTCGTCGTCGTCGTCGTCGTCGGTGTAGATTTAGAGACTCTTTATATATATAGCACTTCCGTTGGAGGGCGGACTTTCTTCGTTGATTGAATAAAACTCATTTGATTCCTCTGCGATTTATGACCCGTCGTCGGTTTAACCTCCTCGCACATCTTCTCTAGCACATTTTTCCCACCGCTTGAGTTTCCCGATTTGGAGATTCAGTTTCCGTCTGCTATTTTAGCGTCTCTTCTTTTTTTCTTTTTCCTTTTGTTTTTTTTTTAATTCCGAATTTTTACTCCGCCCGACAGCGACGCTCGTGTGCGACTGACTGAGACTCGATGCTCCGGGGTCTGCGTTAGTTCCGTAAAATAATTTCCAGATACCACTTTGGCACTTGGCTCTGTGGCACTTGGAACTTGGAACACTCTCTCTCCGGCGGCGTGCCAATGCGCCGTGCACTTTGCTCTTGGTGGTACACTGAAATCGGACGAAAGTTTGTCTCCAAAAAAATTATGCTTCTCTGTTTATGAGCACAATACAATTTCAGCGCTTTCACTTGATTGTTTTGCTTCTCACAATGCGGGCGAAATGAGCGGAGAAAATTCAGTGAAAAATATATATGGATATATATTGAGATATATATTCAGAGAGAGAGAGAAAGATAGAGAGAGAGCTTGTGCTTGTGAGAACAAATACATTTTTGTTTGTTGTTTATCGGGGGCGATAATACGCTTTTGTTTACGTATTTTTCATGTGCAAAACTGACAGACGCACAGTCAGTCAGTGGATATATATCTCTCTCTCCCGCGGGAGAGTAAAGTGTTTTATAAATATAGTTGCAATCACTGGGCAAAGAATGCAACATATAAGGGTACACGCCTTGAAATAAGTAAATTCTATTCTTTCAACGAAATGCAGCGGATTGAGTTACCGATCGACTCGATCAAGTGATTAATGATCTGTGCAAGGAATGCCCCTCGGAATGGATCTGGTTTATATCTCTGGCAGATCTTGGGGCGCCGCAATTAGGAGTATTTAACCATGTGTAAACAGAAGCGATTAGATAAGTGGAACAGGCGTTTTTTTAACTTATCTTGAAATATTTGCTAAAAAAGATTTTTAACTAACTTCAGTTAGGTTTTGGGATTATTTTATTTATTTTTCCCATTTAAATATTTAACTAAAATTGCTAACAGATAAGATTAAAAAGAGAAATAAAAGTAAAATATTTAAGAACTAACATTCTTTTCTTATTAAGTAGTAGAAAGTCAAGTAGGTATTAAAAAAACCTACAAATAATTCCAAAATAAGTTCGTTACTTCCTAAAAACTTTACCTTATGCAATTTTCAAGTTTCTATTTTTTATATAATTTGTAAAATAAATAATTTATTTAATTGCTTTTCCCATTTTCCATGCAAACACTTTCTTACACCAAAATGCGACCAGTTCCCACCGTTAGTGGCTCATATTTCGCAGGTCCCACGAACTTCCCAATCCCAACTGAAATTTCTCACGTCGTCGTTACCCGGCTATCAAAAAGGCAACAACAACAAGAACAACCAACAATTGTAACTACTCATGTAGTAAACAAAATATGAGTAACATTTTTGTGGTAGCCCCTTTCTCTGGCGCCCTTCAGCCCGTCACTTGTTGTTGTTACTGAGCTTTCTCTCTCTTTTCCAAAATCACGCATGCGCCCTGTGGAGCTTTCTTATCACACCTTTGTTGTGGGTTAAAGCTTCGGTTTGTGTTTGGCTGAGCAAAGCTTCGGAAATCAGCTGTTTTGATAAGAAGCAGCGCTTAACACCTTGGTGGCAGCTTTGGAAGGGGAAGGCTAAAACTTAAGCTATGATTTTCTGAACTTTTTTCATATTTTCTTTGTTTTAAAAGTAATTTCAAATATAACCAACTACTATTTCCTTGTTTTCTTAATCAGGAAACCACATTTATTACCTGTTGAAAAACTTTTCCCATCAGCTGTTTTGATAAGCACCCTCCGTTTAACCCCTTAGTGACCGTTTTCCCTCGTGATCGTTGTGCAATGACTGTAAGACATGAGTTATGGCTATATAGTTCTGCAACTGCCAACAACGTGACTCACTTGGTCAGCCTCCCCGAAAAAAAAAACAATAAACAAAAAAAATAAAACCACCGTCTTGTGGGCGGACACATGCGGCGAGTTGTTGTGGCATGCCACATTCGCACACTGGCAAACAAACCGAGATGCAAACAAATAAAATAGACAGACGGCCAACACCTACGACTGGTCGAACGACCCACCGCATGAGTTTTCATACTCAATTGCCGCAAATGCCACAAATATGTGTAATTGACTTGAAAATGCGGCAAGCAAATCAATCCGCACACAGTCAGTCCGTCGTCCGTCGTCCGTCGACCGTCGGAGTCCATTTTCGACCTCAAGTGCAGCGCGTGAACTCATTCTCATTTGCTGGCCAACAGAGTGCGCCACGTTTCAAGCGGCTTACACTGGGAAAAAATTTCACAAAAATATATGTGTCATTCAAAGTGTTAAAGAATTTAATTCAGATTTTTATTTTCTTAGAAAAAGTTGTTCATTGGTTTTTGAATATTTTTTATGTAGACTAAGAACTAAAATCTTTATTAATAACATTTTCAATGACATTTTTCTCTCAGTGCATATAAGCTTAGGTCAGCTCCGCTCGCTTGCTGTGTGATTGATGAATGTTGCATATTTTGGACGCCGTTGGCTGCCACCATTGTGTGGCATTAATGAGACACCGGCCATTTGTTTTGCCATTTTTTAACCATTGCTGGCTGACAATGAAACCGAACTTTGGTTGCCTTACAAATTGTGAACTGTTTTACCCCCTTTTTTTGCTGTTATTGTTATTGTTGCATATACATATAACCCCTTGTTGCCAGCGATCATTTCAATTGTGGCAATCGTTACGTTTTATGGTTATTGTAACACATTGACTTTGCAGCAATTAGAGGCGCATTACATGTGGGCTTTGAATATTTTCGGATCTTGGGATTTAGTGTTTTGCGATAGAAGAGCAGAGAGTGTGGCAGAAAGCCAAGAGTGGCTTTAGCGGAACTGTTTATTACCATAAATAATTGTCAACGCCAGTCGAGTAACGTCAACTGATATACTGTCATGCCCTGATCTCGGTTTTGGGTTCGGTCTGTGCTTTTGGCCCGGTATTCATTTCAGCTAACTGCACACTTGAAAGGCTTAAAGCCGCCAAGCCAAACGACCGATCTGCGATGACTACGCCGCACCCTGACGTCACTTTTGGGTGGGTGCAGCAGCAGCAGCAGCAGTCACAGCCGCAGCAGCAACAACTTATGACTACAAAGTGCCACATAGTATCTATGCCCTGCATAGCTCATAATAAAGTCATTAGAATGTTCGAGTATTATGAGCTTTTTCGTTTTAGAGGCGTTAATAGTTTAGTTCCGCTGCATTGAGTACGCGAGTTGAGGTCGCTCAACTTCCGCATAGAACAAATTGGTTGGGAATTGGGCATTAGCCATGCACTAACATAGCGCAACGCTTGTCGCGGGGATTATCTTTTTCGGGGTGGAGTCTTGAAAAATGTAACAATTTATTAATGCATTTTAGAGCCGTGAATTGCTTAAGCTGTGTCATTATTGTAATTCCTGAAACTGATTTGATTTACATTATTTTATTGTGATTTTTAGACTAAAAGTTATGCTGTTTCAGTCTTCTTTCGGAGGATTTACATAATTCGTTCCCTTTTAAATCCAATTTATATCAGTTTGTTTATATTAAATTCTAAATATATATATTTCTCCTAATCTGTTTTTTAATAATTTGTATAATCCTCATAATAATCTTGATTAACAGTGATCTCCTTTCGAGGCTCCACGAAGCAGGCACTACGGCATAGGCTCTCAGTAGCAAATCGATTGGGATTCCCCCCGCAACCGCTATAGAGATATTCAGTACATCGGTTAGTCATAAGATTATAGCCATATACCTTTAAGTGCTTCTTGCATGTTCCATAGTCCGGTATAAACATGCATTTTTCTAAAGATTTTAAGATATGGTCACTCCGATTGATAAAGATACTTGCCTTACCTTGTCGAATTTCAAAGCCTCCTATTCTGGTCACACGCCTTATTTCGATTTCTCGAGTTTTTCTTTTTCCATTTAATTCTGTTGGAAAGAAAAATCCGAAAAGTACCAAACAGAAGGTAAGTTTAAGCCGCATTGCTTAGAGTTTTGGTCCTTAATGACTTACAAATATTGCACAAATATGTTTAATGACCGTCGGCGAATCCAATTTAATTTGAATGGAAATTATAAGCGTAGCAAAAAGGTGTTTAGTTCAAACTGTGTTCTTGTTTTCGAAGGTACATATATCAAGGTTAAAAGAAACGTTAGATTTTTGCAGTTTTAGATAAGAAAAAAGACCAAAGATCGTTTGAATCACCAATCTTATAAGCTACCTTTACTATCATATCATATTTGAATACGATCTAACCCGATGTAAGCTATCATCCTTCTGCCCATTAAACAACCCTATAAGCCTCAAATTATTTCCAGTGTAATGACCAGCAGAGAAGGCGCTTCTTCTGATTGCAAACTAATTTCGTTCTCACAGAACGTCAGCCCAAAAATGATGATGCTGAACCGAGGTGAACTGAGCCGAACTGATTGAAGTGCAGCCTCAAATTGAAAGATTGAGTGCCCAGCCGGCCAGTCTGTTTGTCAGTCCGTCCTTTTGTCCATTAGTCCATCAGTGCATTGGTTCACCTACGAGTATGTATGAGTATGGTGTATAGATGGCTGTGTGTCAGTCAGTCTGGTGGCAGACAAAATGTTGCTAACGATGCTGCTGGATGCTTTTGGGGCAGCTCCAGCAGCTCTCCTGGCTATCTCGTGTCATTGTCGCACGACTCACGACGGTGATAAATAATCATCAGTCAGTCAGCGGAGCAGTCAAGTGCTCCGCTGTTCCAGTGGCCGGCTGGCTGCCTGCTGCCTGCTCCTGCTTTTCAGTGGCCTCTAATTAAGCTTCGATGCAATTGCACGTACTTGTAATTGCATAAAAGGGTAACGGTATATATATATACATATAGATAGATCCCTCGGACGAGGCCGTGCCCATCGATTTGGGATTACTAACTATATGGTACTTCACTCTTGGTTATTATCGCCATCGCCGGTCGACTGTTTTGTCTGTTTTTGGGTCTACCCCGGGCTGATAGCACAGCTTGGCAATGACATTTCAATGCATTTATGATGTTTATCTTACTATTTGCACTGGAGAACGAGAAGTTAGTAGCTGGTAGCTAGTACTCCTGGCCAAGATACCAATGCCAATTGTCAAGTGATTGGAGGGTAGAAGAGAGAGCTCTCTTTTGGCTGCACTGATTTAGATAAATTGCGCACGTTTTCTAAGGCAGGGCCGGGCTTTTAGAGTCCGTCGTTGTTGTTATCAAAACAACTTCATCAACGACTCATTGATCTTGCGGTCAGGTTCATTTCGTATATTTTTTTTTTCCGTTGGCCAGCCATTAATTGGCCACCAAACCGTTGATGGCCATTTGATAGGGCCACGAACCATAAGCAGTTTTTAATTAGGATCGGCCGCCGGCCCATTTTATTTTCTAA